TTCCTCTGCCATACCAACAAGAGGCAGAGGTTAGAGAGAAGGGAAAAGTGCAGGAAGCTGACCCCACTGGAAGGGGGGGACTCCCGGGGGGGGGGCAGTGTGATATCCTCGATGTGGACTTTCAGATGTTGGTGGCTTTGTTCAGTCCTTGCCATTCTCTAACCAGAATTAGGGTCAAGACACACTGTAGCAATCCCAGAGAGCCCAACCAGCAATGTTCCCTCTCCTTTTAAAATTTAAACCTTCAAGTTTCTGGAATGAGTAGCCAGCACTTCTAGTAGGAGCCTCACTGTGGAGGGACATACACACACATACACGCTTCCCTAAGCAGGACCCACTTTGGGGAGCAAGGAATATAATTTGCTGCATGGTGCTACTGGAAAAACGGGCAACATTACCCTTTACCCAGGCAACGGAGGCAGGCAACTGGCCTTGTGACTGCAACCAGCAGCTTTAAGAATGCAGTCCTTTCTGCTTCAAGGCAGAGAAGAAATTGTTTTTGCCTCTTTTTTATTTGCAGTTATTATCCCCGAGGCTTCCCCGACCCCAATCCCCGACACCATCCTCAGAGTTCAGGTCCTCCATTGGCAGTGCCCAAAGGGAGAACCCTAGGCGGCCGGTCCGGGGCCCAAGAGGGCGGCTCCCTCTGCACGGAATCCTTCCCTAGTGACTCCCAAATCCGGCGTTTTCTCTGCCCGCCTTTCCCTCGGGGGAGACTCGGAGAGGCTGCAAAAATCTGGGCGCCCGCTCGCTCGCTTGTCAAGAAGCAAACTGTCTTCACATTCTCCAAGAGCAACATCCCTGCCTAGGAAGAGGAAAGAAGAGGCAAAATAAATAAAACCAGTTAATGTTGTAGTTAACTTGCAAATCAAGTAAATCTGTTGGTGCCGTATTTGAGAAATAAACCATCAGAGCGTCACAGCAAACACACACTTCTGAACGTCTTCATTTTGATTTAATGGTATATCAGCGTCAACTATCGCTTCCTCTGCTGGTACACACGGCCTGATGCCGCGGGAGGAGGGTGCCCATGTTTATCACCGAGTGAGATGACTAATTACACCTTGTCAATCACCGGCTATGAAGACATAAAACCAGCGCGCACAATGAAGTAGTTGCCTGCAGCGTCAATTAGTTGGCGATTCGGAGGTTATTGCGTGGCCCTGCTTTGGCCGCCTCTAATAACGGGACAGAGCACGGGAACGGCGCACTGATCAATCACCCTCCTTCCGCGGCTCCCCGGCTCCCCGGCTCCCCGGCTCCCGCCCCCCTCTTCCTCCGCCCCACCCGGCCTCACTTTCTCTGGGCCGCATGTGCTTCCTCCCTCCGCGGCCCAGGCTCCGTGGCGCCGGCAGCCCCGGGAGCCCCGGGAAGTTTGCGCGCGGCAGCTCCGCAGCCGGCAGCCGGGAGCCCCGCAGCCTTCGGGGAGCGCCGGGGCTGGTGGCCCCTTTGTTGGAAGAGGCGTGGAGGGAGCGCTTTTGTTCTGAGTTAGTCACGGTGGCCGGCTGGAGGCTGCTACCTCATTATGCGCCGGGTCTGCCTGTCTGCGAGGAAGCAGATGGTGGGGAGGTAGGCAGCGGCGAGAGTAGCCAGACCTGAATTCGGTTCACCTGTCACCTCCCACAAAAGGCAGGTTCTAGGGACTTAGGGATTCTTTCTCCCCATCTGGGGGAGGGGCGTCGAGGGGCCGCCGTTTCCGACGCCTCGGAATATTACTTTTACCTGCGGGTGCCTGCTCCCCCAACCTCCTGCCTTCCCCTCCGCTGCGGCTTCTCGCACCGTGTAAATGTCACTCACGTGTCAGGATGTGTGTTTATAGCCCGTTCCTTTCCTTGTTTAGTCTTCGTGGACAGGGCTCAGCGGTTGTGCGACGTCCCCCCCCTCCCCCACCCGCCTCTGGGGAAGATTAGCAAAGTTACCCGCCTCCGAGCCCAGGGCCAGGGCACCCAGATCCCGCCCCGCGGCGGGAGACGCGTTTGAGCCTCTAGCAGACCCGGGCGCGTCCCAGCCTGACACGGAGGGCTGCAAAGGCGGGCGCACCCGGCGGGAATCGTGACTGCCAGGGAATTTGGGGTCGGTCAGCGATGGGCGTGGACTGCAGGTCAGAGTGGCGACGAAATCGTGTACTTACATATGTGGGGGGAGTGGAGAGCCGCAGGATGTGTTTCCGTGTTTCTTGAGAAGCCCGCGGCAAGAGTTACCGAGTGCACCTCCTCCCCGACCCGCCCCCCACCTCCTAAATCAGCCACTGGAGTTCTCGAAAACGTATTGTATCCATCTAGCCTAGGCGCGGAGCTGCACCAAGGACAAACTCTCCAGCGTTGTTACAATTTTTTTTCTACCCTTTGGGCGACCTCCAGATGAACCCCGGTGACTCCCAGATTAGATTTTCGTTCCTTACTTTCTTTGAAAGAAAGTGCCCCAGATGCCTCAGTAAAACATGCCTGTGTATACGTGTAGGCGTCCGCGTGCCTGGGCGCGGGGCTGTGTGCAGGCGCCAAAGCACACGTCTGTGTGAACACACGCGCAGGCGCGCGTCTTTGGGTTCATGGTCCTTCCCTCACGTTGGGGCATCTGTGCATGTGCAGCGTGTACACACGTACTTGTAACTTCAAGAGTTTTTTCAAATACGCAAAACATGGCCTCGGAGAAGCGCACGCGGGGATTTAGGTAGTATTGTCTCAACATGCAATTGTATGTATAACATGCAATTTACGCCTTTACAACTGCACGCTCCTGCCTGGCACTGGACACTTGTACCCCATGTGCCTGTGTAGATCCTAGCCCTACATCCCTACTGGCCATGTTTTTGCCAACGGAGAAGAACATGTGCGTTTGCACACATGAACACGAATGCATGTGCTTGGGCATTACTAACACACATATGTTTATGTTTGAAAGTTTTGCACCGTAGGTAGAAGGTAGCCCCTTGCCTCCTTTTGGCAAGCAAGTCACTTCAGACTGACCCACCTCCAAAGCAGACCCAGGAAATGGGACTCCTGTTACTGACTTAGCTCATTCAGTTTTTCTCCACAGTCACTTTTTATTTCCTTAATCCTGCTTCACCACACACCTAGGTATCATGCTTGTGTCCCCAAGAGACTCTAGGTTGAGCCTGAAGTCTGGGGGCTGGGGTGGCAGTTGAGATTTACCCACAGGTGGGGTTGTTGATCCTTGGAGAAGTGGTACAGCCAGGCAGCAGGGTGGACGCCTGTCAACAGCTGGGTCTGTGGCATGATGCAAACAGCAGAGGATGGGCCTGCGGTCTTTAAGGACCTCAGTGATACCCAATGTATGTCGGAGTGGGAGAGTTTTTAACAGGAGGAGATGGAGATGGAGAGGGAAAAGAGGGAGTGATGAGAGAATTTGGTTAGTGCCTACTACGTCCCAGGTACTTTAAAATCCATGATCTCTTCTGTTCATTACCTGTGTGGAGCGGGCCTTCTCGTCCCTCAATGAAAAGATCAAAAACAGTCTAAAGGGAGTTCAGTCACTTGCCTAAGGTTACACTGCATGTAAGTGGCAGAACTGGGATTCGAACCTATGGGTTTCCTAGTGCCTAAAGCCATGCTCGCATCCACTCTTTCAGGCTGTAGAGGGACAGGGAACGGGCAAGAAGGAGCTGCACGCTCCCATTAAGTGGGCCCTAGCTTGCTTGGAGCGAGGCTACGCTGGCTGGTCCTCCTCCGCCGGAGTCTTACAGCTCCCGCGGGCTCTAGCCTCTCTGGCTCAGCCGGGTCCTCAGGAGGCCTAGGCGGCTGCCTGCCGCCCGCAGCGCGGAGCCTGGGCCGAAGGCCGAGCTCCGCGGGAAGCAGCTGAAGGCTCCCGCAGCTCTGCCCCAGGCCTGCCTTCCCAGGCCTCCCCAGCCGGTGCCCGAGGCGGCGGCTCTGGGCCGAGGAGAGACCGGAGTGAGAGCTCCTCAAGCATCCTCGGGCTGCGCCTTCTTAGGATGGAGACGGCAGCGAGAGAGGGTTTAATTTTCCATCCCGAAGAAATCGCAGGAAACTGTTCGCAGCTTAAAAAACTCCAAACCCCGCGCTCTCCCTCCTCCCTCCCTTCCTCCCGCCCCCTCCCTCCAGCCTTGCCCACCAGCTCCCACCATCTCGTCGCTCCTCTCCTCCTCCTGATTCTCCCCTCCCTCTTGGGTCTCCCGCCTTCCCGGAGCACGCGCTGCCAGGGCTCGGGGTGCTGAGCGGCCAATGGCGCGGCGGCAGGACGTGATGTAAGGCGCGGCTGTAGAAAAGGCGCGGACGCTTGGCTGGCGCGGACTGCAGAGCCGGGGCTGGGCTCGGCGCGCTCTTGGAGAGCCTTGCGCGCGGCTGGGCCCGTGGCCGGCGGCTCCTCCTCCCACTCTGCTCCTCCTCCTTTTTCTCCTCCTCCTCCTCC